TTTTTTTTTTTTTTAACTCTGCTTGGTTCCTTTTGTGTTTGCATTTGCAGGTGTTAGTTACTGACTTCCTCACCTGGAAACAGTGTGCAGAGTTCCAAACAGCCTAACTCTGAAATTGTAAATCATAGTTCACACGAATCTGCTTACTTCATTGTTAGCAGGCAAACTCTTCTTGTAAAACCTCATGACGTTTGGGTTCCTTGACCCTTTCAACACATTATCCAGAAATTGATTCAGTAATATTTCATAACAGATGACAGGTTTGTAACCACTTTTAAAGTTATGTAATGATAGTTTACGTTCACCTGAAAGAGTCTCAGAGCTTTTACCAATCCACCAACTTCGTTTTTCAAAGAGAATACGACGGCCGTCTTGCCACTTTCAGTAGCGGCTTCACTTTTGCTGTTCCCCTTACTACTTTTCTTGTCATCATTTTTGCCAGAGCCAGTTTTGTTTAGCTTCAAGAAGAAAGAGAAAAAAAGATTAGTCAGAACTCCAGAGTCCTTCATATTTTTTTTCCAGATATTCCCCAGCAATCATACAAACGCAAGGTGAAATCACTCATGACTTTCCATCCTAAATACTGGTCTAATTTACTCTGGGACACTATTACCAAGCCTGTATGCTATCAGCTAGTGGTTGAAATTAAACGGAGGATCAGATTTGTTTCACTTTAATAGCAAAAAATAAAATAAAATAAGACTATTATAAGCACCATTTGAGAATAATCCTACCATTCTAGGTTTATCTTACAGTATTAAATTTGATCTGTTAGCCCAGCTGTATCATATGGAAACTATAAAAATTATAAAAATAAAACATAAGACCAAGTATATAGTTTTCACAATAATAATTTTCGCTTCACTTAACATTTTAAAAACAAAACATCCACTTAATTCCAAAGTCTTGTAAGACATGCACATAAATGCATGGCATTACTTTCTGCAATTAGATCCTCATTGTCAATATGACTTTGCATATAGAAATTCAGAAGCTAGAAGAGTATTCAACTAAGGCCATTTGTGTCAGTATATGATAGCTGAAAAAAAATAGTTGTTAAAATTCAGGTACAATTAAAAGAGGGGAAAAAAGAACAAGAGAAAGCTAGCTAGTTAACTAATCCTTAGAGGCAAACAGCAGAATCTGAAGAAGTGAAATTAATTAATAAAGTTTAGTCATTCAAGATACTGTAATATATGATTAAGTAATGGTTGTTAGTCCTATAGCTTTCTGGGGTGGCACTGTAGGATAATCACTGGACTGCTTACTTCAAGGTCAGTGGCTTAAACCCACCAATTGCTTCTTGGAAACCCTATACAGGGTCACTCTATAACAACAACCTTGGTCCTGCTGACTGAAGATCAAAATGACAGATCCAACCAATTCAGATCACATTAACAAAAATGCAGAAAGCTGAAACTTTCATTTGACAGATAATACAAAACTATGATGTTGTTTTTTTGAGTAGTCCTGGTGTGCTGCTGTAGGATAAGCACTAGATTACAAGGTCTGTTTGAACCTCAAGGTCAGCAGTTCCAACTTACTAGCCATTCCTAGGAAACCCTATACAAGGTTACTAGGAGTCCGGACCAACTCAACAGCACTTAACAACAACAACATATGCAAATACAGAGTTGGGCAAACAGAATTTTCTTTCAGGAAAATGATAACGTAATACAATCACACTAAGCTACTACTTCCTCATGAAACTGAGAAATGCATGCTTGATATGGAACCTGTGGAGTAGAGATTTGCTATTTTCTTCCTCTGAATCCACTACTGGCGTAATGTTTGCATGTTACTATTGCCTCACTAAATGTATACATCATAGAAAGGACCGAAATAATATTTTACTATTTATGACTTAAGGAAAGAAGTGTATGCAGACACTGATATTTGTCAGTACGTTTAGTCATTAAAAGCTCAAATATTTTAGTCCTCTCGCCATCTGCCTTCTCCTTCCTCATCATGTAGGACACAGATCTGACATCTCATTTTTTACATGAAAGGGTCTTACATTAACCATAACTGTGTTTTCTTTGTTTTCCTTCTAGAAGTTCATTATAACTTCAAAATTCCTCAGTGTAATATCTAATTCCAAAATTCCTGATATTTAAATGTTAGTAATCCATTTATATTTAGGCCTCATTTTTGCAAATTGATTGAAATAATTCCACAAAACTTTCTGTGACTACTTTTCAATACTTTAGCCATAATAATATGTCAGTACAGTGCAAGCCTCTTGGCACTTATTTGAGCTACAATACTAAACCAGACTTTTTCTTCATAATACAGAATGGATTGAAATTAGATGATAAACCCTGATAATGAAGTAATGGAATACCACTTAATATTTTTTCAATTTTTCTAATGCATAGGAATCTGAATATATTTTTATTTCCTGCCATTTTTATTAAATCCAGGAATTATTACCTCAGATCAGGATGTGAAAATCTGCAAAATGTTATGTTTTGGCTCTGTCAGTATTATATATATATATACCTTTAAATATTGAAGAAAGTGGTGTACTATTTCCATTACTACATCAATTAAACTGGCAAAAAGAAAAAGGAGTAATGAGGAATGCAGAAAAACTTTTGAAAGGAACCTTTGATTCCAAAAAACAAGAATAAAAAGCATTACATATTCTTTGGGGCTTTGTGAATGGAAAAGGGTATATGAAAAGCAATAACTGTAAGAATCAGGTAAATCTATTTAATTTCTTCTCTCTCTTCTTCATTAGAAATGGCCTTTCAACATTTTTTTGGTTGTGGATAAAAGATACGGTTTCCTCTTGTTTTTAATTTTTAGGAACTTCTTAACTTTATACTTATAAACTTTGAGGAAAAGGAATTTAAGCACGTAGAGATCTGTACCCCTTTTACTTTTTGGAGGGAGGAGGGGAAGCAGGGAGGGTAGAGAAAGGATAAAGGAGGGAGCTGAGGTGTGTGTTCATCATGTCCATATGGTGAAGACAGACGATTGCTACCCCAGAAGATTCTCTCTCTAGTGTGCCAGGTATTCAATACTCACTGTTACGCTGCCAAGTAACTCTTCAGGCACCGCTGAATCCAGGGAAAACCCTCTCCTTGCCCAGTATTTACTGGAAAACATCATCATTGCCGGCTGCATTGATCCCGGTGTAATTTTCTTTCTCTGCAGCAGGGGGGACTAGAGGGGTAGTAGCAGTGTTGGTGGAGCTTGAAAGAGGAAGGGGTATGTGTGATCAGCAGTCAGTTTGGGTTGCTGTCCAAAATCCTAGTGCTGAAGAAAGAGCAAGACGAACCCTCCCCTCTCTAGGCTCCTTTATATGAGCGACTAAGAACTGATGGAAGAGTGATTAGAAAAAAAAAAAAAAAAAACTCATTTCTGGCTGCTGATGGCCACGGTGAGATTAGAGACCTACAGCTTTGGGTTATCTGTGCTCATGGTGAGATTTGTTTCATAGGTTGAGTAGCAGTTTGAGCGGGGGTGGTGAAGAACAATACATAAGGGTGTGTCATTTGTACAAGAAAAACATCTGTCCCCTGAGATTAAGGCTCATCTCTGAAACCTCCTAATGACAAGTTAACCTCAGCCTTTAGGTGACTGTGAATTTAAAGTTTGTTTTCTGCTTCTGAATATGTTTCTAAAAACAGGAAAGTAATTTAAGAAAGATCAACACTGCCGAATCGTTAAGCCATTTTATTGTATGTTAATAAACTGTTCTGACCTGAGATATGTTATGGTTTTGTGCATGAGCATGTGTGTGTGTGAGAAAGAGTGTATGTGTGTGTATGTGTGTGTGATGGCTTTCATAAAAGTCACTGACTGCTTCTCATTCAAGTAGTGTCACTATCTAATGTGATGTGCATGCAATTATATTGCAAAGAAAATGTGATGGTTTGATTTAGCTACATATAGATACAGTTCATAGAGTCCTGGTCAATTTGAACCGCAAGGTCAATTTGAACTACAAGATTAGCAGTTCAAACTCACCAGCCACCCCTTGAAAACCCTATACAGGGTCACTATGAGTTGAAACTGACTCCACAGCACTTAACAACAACAGATACAGTTCATAGCTCAGACAACAGCCCTAAAATTCTTGTTGTTGTTGTTATGTGCCGTTGAGTCAATTCTGACCCATAGTGACCCTGTACAGGGTTTCCAAGGAGCAGCTGGTGAGCTTGAACCACCAGCCTTGCAGTTTAAATGACTTTGCAGTCTGACGCATTAGCTCACAGCACCATACCAGGACTCCAAAATTCTCCTAACTAAGTGGGAAATAAAAGAAAACTAAATGCATATACGAGTCCTGGTATGGCGCTGTAGGATAAGCACTAGCCCACAAGGTCAGCAGTTCAAACTCAACAACCACTCTTGGAAACTCTGTACAGGGTTGCTATGAGTCACAACTGACTTGAAGCACACACACAAATGCTTCTCTATTAGTCATTCTTTGATACTCTTGATGGTTACTGAATTTTGCCTCTATACTTATAATTAGATCAAATCCAAAAATTTAACATGAATAAATCAATTGATATACTTACTATTCAAATTTTGGAAAGTCATAAAATTCACCATGCCACAGAAAAATATTATCAACTTCCTGAAGATGAAAGACTCTTGGCCAAATGTGCTTGTTTGACTGCAAAACCAAACAATATCTAGGACAGCACAAGCTAAAACTAGACGAAATTTTTCAAAACAGGAATGGACGAATTAATGCTAATTGGAATTTTAGTTGCTTCTAGAGTCTTGAGGGAGTATGATTACTTAATCTAATTCTCAAAATACCATTTGAGTTTTATTTTCTCTAAAGATCAGTTCTGACCAACAATATAAAAGGCAAGTTTAAATAGGTTGATTGAAATAATTAAAATGGTGGTGGTGGTAGTGTGCTGTGAGGTCAGTTCTGACTCATAGTGACCCTGCACAGGGTTTCTGAGGCTGTAAATCTTTATGGGAGCAGAAAGCCTAATCTTTCTCCCGCAGAATGGCTGGTAGTTTCGAACTGCTGACCTTGAGGGTAGCAGCCCTCCTTGTAATCACTACGCTACCAGAGCCCCTTAATAATAATGGTTGTTGTTATTGTTAGGTGCCATCGAGTTGGCACCAACCTTATGCACAGCAGAATGAAACACTGCCTGTCCTGGGCCACCCTGGAGCCATGCTTGAGCTACTGTTGCCACGCTTGAGCTCATTGATGCTGCCACTTGGCCTATCCATCTCACTGGGGGACTTCCTCTTTTTCTCAGATCCTCCACCTTACCAAACATGATATCTTTCTCCAGTGACTGGTCCCTCCTGACATTGTCCAAAGTATAAGACACGAAATTTGGCCATCCTGGCCTCCAAGGAGCACTCTGGCTGAACTTCTTTCAAGATAGATCTGTTGGTTCTATGGGCAGCCCATGGCACTTTCAATATTTTCCTTCAACACCATAACTCAAAAGCATCAATTATTCTACAGTTTTCCTTATTCACTATCCAGCTTTCACAGGCATATAAGGTTATTGAAAATACCATGGCTTGGGTCAGGCTCACCTTAGTCTTCAAGCTGACATCTTTGCTCTTCAACACTTTTAAAAGATCTTGTGCAGCAGATTTGCCTAATGCAACACGTTGTTTGATTTCTTGACTGCTGCTTCCATGAGTGCTGATAGTTAGTTGATCCAAGAAGAATGAAGTCCTTGACAACTTCAATCTTTTCTCCCTTGATAAAGATGTTGTCTATTGGGTCAATGATGAGGATTTTTGTTTTCTTTACATTGAGATGTAATCCATACTCTGCTGTGCTCTTTGATCTTCATCAGTAAATGTTTTAAGTCTAACTAGTATTATCAAGTCATTAGTATTTGTCAATATCTATCCTAAGTACTTTTGTGTATTGATACCTGATTTGTCATCACAACAACAGTTACAAGGCAGTCACTATTCTTCCCATTTTATATATGGAGAAACTAAGTTTCAGAAAGTTTAGGTAACTTTCCAAAGCTTCACACAGCCAAGGAGTAGCAAGACAGGATTTGAAATCAGGTACTCTTGTTCCAGAATCCATGCTCACAGCCATGGATACTGTACAGGCTTTTAAGAAAAGGAATTCCAAAGAAGAAAAAACATCTTTACAAAAGTAAGCTCTGAAATCTTTTGCAAAAAAAAAAATCTTTACAAAAGTAAATACCATAGATTATTTCAGCTGTAACAGAATTTGAGAAGATGTGTACTATCAAATAACTGAAGCCCTAGTGCAGTGCAGTAGGATGAGCACTGGACTAGCAACTGCTAGGTCAGCAGTTCAAACCTACCAGCCTCTCTCAGATACCCTGTACAGGGTCACTATGAGTTGGAACTAACTTGATGGCATACAACAACAACATGTAATATATTATCACTTATAGAGAATACTTTGCTTGAGAAGAATGCCAAGAACTAAACCCTGGGGAAGACCAGATTTCAGAAGCAATGAAAAAAAAATTAAGACTAAGAAAGAAAAAAAGAAGCAGGAAAAAAAGAGCCAAAGAAAGATACTTCTAAATGACAAATATGAAGCTTAAAAATAGTATGAAAGGTTGATAATTTGGAGGTCTGAATTCCAGGATAAAAAATTTAATTTAAGGGAAAGGCAGTTATTATTCTTATTTGGACTATAGCGTAATGAGTCCTGGTATGGCACTGGACCACAAGATCAGGTTGAATCACAAAGTCAGCAGTTCAAGCTCACCAGCTGTTCCTCGGAAACCCTATACAAGTCACTATGAGTCAGAACCTACTTGACAGCACTAAACAACAACAGCTTAATGAGGAGTCCTGGTGTGGCGGTGTAGAATAAGCACTGGACTGTAAGTAATGTTGGTTTGAACAGCAAGGTTGGATGGTGAGGTTCAAAGCCACCAGCATCTCCTTAGAAATCCTATACATGGTCACTGTGAGTTGGAACCAATTCCCCAGCACTAAACAACAACAACATAGTTTAATGAGCATGATATGAGAATTTAGTCTAGTGACAGTGTGCAGTGTAAACTAAATGATAGGAAGACTCACTAGAGAGAAAAGATTTGATGAAAACTACAATGGCAGTAGTTATGAATAGGAAAAGGATTACAAAAATAAGTATCAACAGGAAGTTCTTGGCTAACTGAATATTATATATAAAAAGAAGGTAGAGTCAAAGGAAAAAGCTAAAATTTTCAGCCTCCACTTCTGGAATAGTGGTACAGCCAACAAAAAGAAGGAATGGTTTTGGGGGGAGAAATCATTTTTAGAGACAATAAATTAGAATTGTACCCAGTACTATCAAGTGAATTTGGATAACATGTAATTATGAATGTTGGACTGGAGTATAAAAAATATATCCGGTAATTAGAAACATAAATGTTTCTGTATCATTAAAGGTGGCAATATCAACACGTTATAGGGCTGTTATGCCAATAAAATCGATGTGTATAAGGTGCTTACGGTAGTGTCTGGCCAGAATTGGGTGTTCCATGTGTTAGTTATCGCCCTGTTGTTGTTGTTAGATGCCATCGAGTCAGTACTGACTCACTGCGACCCTCAGCGTAATATCGCAGCCAACCTCATGGTCAATGTTATGCTGGAGGCCATCAATTTTAATCAACTTTTAGAATAGATATATATGCTACTTTGGAGCATAATCTCATTGTTTTTCAATACACTTTGTCCATCTGCTAACAAGCTTGTGTATTCCCTTATTTAAAAATGTTTTAGGCTGCGCTATGAACCACTAATGCACTGCTGTCTAAACATCTTCATCAGAGGTCTTCATCCTCGAAGGGATGCTTTCAGGGAAACAAACAGGTGAAAAGTCTGATTGAGCAAGGTCAGGACGATAGAGAGGATGCTTTAACATCTCAAAATAAAGTTTTTGCAGAATGCCAACAGTATGGGCAGAGGTGTGGGGCTGTGCATTGTCATGCAAGGTAGCAGTCCTCTATGTTTAATGTGAAGTTTAGGCTTCAGCTCTTCAGTGAGCATCTCACTGTAATGAGCACTGTTGATTGTTGAAACTTTTTCCTGATGGTGTTCCAATACTGGCCCTTGAGAATCCCAGAAAACTGTAAGCATCAATTTTCCAGCTGATGGTTGACTTTTGAACTTTTTCTCAGCTGGAGATTGAGGATGTTTCTATTCCATAGTCTGCCATTTCCTCTCAGGCTGATAATGATGAATCCATGTCTCATCACAAGTAACAATTTTTTAAAAGAAA